AACAAAGTTTAATTTTGGACCCTTTTGACCTCAATGTGAACCAATTTGATAGCGGGGCCTACATAAAAAATCTAAATACATGGTTAGATTCAGCATATCAAAGAACCTCATATATTCAATTTTTGTTGAAATCAAACAAAGTTTAATTTTGGACCCCAATTTGGACCAACTTGAAAACCGGGCCCATAATCAAAAATCTAAATACATGTTTAGATTCAGCATATCAAAGAACCCCATATATTCAATTTTTGTAGAAATCAAACAAAGTTTAATTTTGGACCCCAATTTGGACCAACTTGAAAACTGGGCCCAAAATCAAAAATCTAAATACATGTTTAGATTCAGCATATCAAAGAACCTCATATATTCAATTTTTGCTAAAATCAAACAAAGTTTAATTTTGGACCCTTTGGACCTTAATGTAGACCAATTTGAAAACTGGACCCAAAATTAAAAATCTAAATACACTGTTAGATTCGGCATAACAAATAAATAAATGTGATCAAAGATTTTACAAATCTAATGCGCCATACTGTGCAATTAAAGATTACTTCTTGAAATTTTTCAATATTTGAAATTTGAAAAAAAAAAATATTTGAAGAATAATTCTTTTTAATTTCTGAAATCTGAAATGAGAAAAAATTGACCCCCCACAATTTCTTTTTATCCCCCCCCCCTTTTTTCCCCAAATAAATTCTTTCCCTCAAGATATGGTCATAATCTCAATTCAAATTTCCAATGGAGTTGGCAACCATAATTACCCATTTAAATTTACCATAGTGCTAACTTAATCTATTTTATAATAGAATTAATAAAAATATAGTGTCAAATCTTTCATATGGATTTTTTTGTAAAAAAAAAAGATGCAACATTTGCAGATATTTTTACTGGTCTTCCTTTATAAATATGCATTTCTTTAAACATAATTTAAAAGCAGTGTAAGGGAAGTAACCAAAACGTTGTATTTGGATTACCTCCCTTACACTGTTTTAAATTATCTTTATTGTTCATTAACCATTACTTTATACATAATTTAAAAGCAGTGTAAGGGAGATAATTTCAATGATGTATTTGATTTATCTCCCTTACACTGCTTTAAATTATGTTTTGTACTAAAGTATTTGTCCATTAACCAGGACAACCTTGTTTTTCCCCCTTTTTTGCCCCTAATTCCTAAACGGTTTGAGCCATAACCCCCCAAAGCAAATCCTAACCATCCCTTTGTGGTATGGAAACTTGTAGTATAATTTCAGAGAGATCCATACACCGTTCCACAGTTATTGTCTGGAAACTAGAAAATGCTTATTTTTGGCCCCATTTTGGCCCCTAATTCCTTAACTGTTGGTACCATAACCCCCAAAATCAATCCCAACCTTCCTTTTGTGGTATTTAACCTTATGGTCAAATTTCAAAAAGATCCATTTACTTAAACTAAAGTTAGAGTGCGAAAACCAATGTGTATTCGGACGACGACGACGACGACGCCAACGTCATACCAATATACGACCACAAAATTTTTTTGCGGTCGTATAAAAAGAAGGTGGTGGGGGTGACCCCCATGGACTTCCCCTATATTTTCATTTGATTTGTGTTATTGTCCCATACAAGAATATATATGGCTTAGGGGTGGGGATCTCGACCGTTTACAAGTACTCAAACAGGAGGGGGTTGGGGTGACCCCAGGGGACTCGCCTTTTACTTCATTTGATTAGTTTTATAGTCCCATACAAGAATATTTATGGTTTCAGGGTGGGGATCTTGACCATTTACAAGATAAAACTCAAATTTATTTCATGAATCAGTCTCAAAACACCAAAATAATTCTCTAAAACTAGATATGACTTAACCACTCATAAATCTCTAAAATTAGATATGATTTTATATCTATCAATTAAACACATCACTTTTCAAAACAAATAACTCAAACTTATTTCCAAAAACCAGTAAAAAACCAGTAACAAAACACCAAAATAATTCTCTAAAATTAGATATGACTTAAACACTCATAAATCTCTAAAATTAGATATGATTTTATATCTATCAATTAAACACATCACTTTTCAAAACAAATAACTCAAACTTATTTACATAAACCAATAAAAAACCAGCAAAATACTTCTCTAAAATCAGATATCATGTTATATCTATTTCCATATTATAATCAAATTTAATTAATAGTTGCTAATATTGTTTCTTTCATGTGTCAAAAAATAATACAGATCTGCAACTTATCTATCAATGTCAAAAACTTGATCTCATAATAAAAATAGATTATTATCTAATTAAAAACAAGTTTAGATTCAGCACTTAAAGAACCCTATATATATTTAATTTATGTTCAAATATAACACACACAAACTGATTAATTTTCCCAGGGGACCTGCCCTTTATTTCATATGATTTGTTTTTTTGTCCCATACAAGGATATATATGGTTTAGGGGCGGGGATCTCAACCATTTACAAGTTCTTAAACAGGAAGAAGGTGGGAATGACCCCAAGGAACTCACCTTTTATTTCATATCATTTGTTTTATTGTAACATACAAGAATATATATGGTTTCGCCGTGGGGATCTTGACCATTTACAAGTTTTCAAAAAAAAGGAGAGTAGGGGTTACCCCAGGGGACTTCCCCTAAATTTAATTTGCTTTAATTTATTGTCCCATACAAGTACATATATGGTTTAGGGGTGGGGATCTCAACCGTTTACAAGTTTTCAAAAAGAAGGGGATAGGGTTTACCCCCGTGGACTTCCCCTATATTTCATTTGATTTGATATATTGTCCCATACAAGAATATATATGGTTTCTGGGTGGGAATCTTGACCGTTTACAAGTTATCAAAAAAAAGGGGGGTAGGGGTTACCCCAATGGACTTCCCCTATATTTCAATCAGAAAACAGTAAATTTTCAAATAGATCTGTCACTCCAATGATTATCATATGCTAAAATATTTCAAAGATCTAATTAATAATGAAAATAAATCATTATCATATGCTGAAATATTTATAATATCTAATTGAACAGAACTATGGTTGTTTAACATAGTACTCTAACATAATAAATAATGTAATAATCTTCAAAATTTCTAATGATATAGCTTATAATCATTACCACTTAGGAAATAGATAATTTTCAAATAAATCTGTCACTCCAATTTTTATTCTGAGATAAGACAAATCATAAAAAGATAACAACAGTAAAATATTTAAAAATTCTACTTTTGGATATTAAAAAGGAAGATAACTCACAAAGGAGATATACTAAAATCTTGAAAATTAATAGAGACCTTCATTAAGTCCCAGGAAACAACATATTTAAATTTGAAAAAAATTTGTTAAAGCGTTTTCATGTTAATGTGCGGACGCTATTTGGCAGCCGCCAGAGCTGCCCAGCCGCCCGCCGTATATAACCATTATAATAACCGATATTTCCTTCGAAAATCCGGTTAAAAATAGAAAGCAATATCCAGTTGGAATCTGATATCTCATGTAGGAAAAGTGCCATACTCTCTAAAGAACACTTCCTACAACTCTTTTAGGGAACTGTAGATGGCATGTTGCAAGGCAAAATTTCAGCCCATAATTCTGGTCAAGCCACTTTGCAGAGCTTACCTACATTATTGTAAGTTGTTCTCATCCTAAAAATGCATGAAATATTTAGGATTAGAAAAATCAATAAAACTAATGGCAAGATCGAACAAGATATACCCAGAGTTATTGCTCACTAATAAAATCTCGCTCACTTATATCAACAACGTCAATGTTGTTTTAATGTGATGAAAATTTCAAACATGTGCATGACATTCTGAAAGATATAAATTTTCAGCAAACAGAAAGTAGAACATTGAAGGCACTGAAAATGTGTTGTACAGTATGGCAGACAGATTTAAACTGGAATACCCCTCCTTTTGAGCATAGGCATAATGAAACTTATCAATTAACAACTGGAGCATGAAATTATGTCAAGGTCATATGTCAGATAAACATATACTCCCAAAAACAAATACAAAGCCATGATATTTGTAAAACAGATATATACTCCTCACAAACAACTCAATTATTAAATGTTTGTTGACCTATCATGTATAATAACTGATAAAATAAAGCTGATCTTTTTAAAATACCTTCAAAAGAAAAACAAGAGGCTCACATGAGTAAAAATATGTCATTTTGATATTTATGTTTACCTTTATCATGTTTATTCCAATCAATTATGTTTGATTATTTGTAAATTTCATTTAGTTGCATTTTTTGTAGATCATGTACTGAGGATAATTTTCACTGTTTATACCTTATTCATATCTATTAAAATTTGAAAATTGCCAAATTATAAAAATCAGTAAAAAAATCATCATTTAAGAGTTTAATTCATATAAGGAGTATGACTATTTTGGCCATGTTGACTAACTTGTAGATCTCATTTTGCTATTAAATCTTTTTTTCAATTCCAAGTTTCTCTCTATCTTCTATAGTTTTTGACAAAAATTAAACTAGAGGCTTTAAAAAGCATGTGTTGCTCACCCAGGTCTATGTGCATCTTCAACAATGGAGTGTCTCCAACATTTTGGACTAGATTAGAATGCATGACAAAAATCTCTTTTTTGTTGATCTTGTATTGCTGATAGTTTTTTCTGTTTACAGTTTCTCTCTCTCTTCATTAGTTTTTGTCCAAAACTTAGAAAAGGATAAAAAAAAATCGTCATTTAGGGGCAACTAGATATCATTGAGATGGGAGCCATCTCTTTGGGCCCCGCTGTGAATAATGTGTGGTAAAAAATTTGTATCTTTATCATTGGACATGGGGTTGTCAACTAAAACCAAAGTTTTTGACCTTGACCTTTGACCTAGGAAGTTGAACATAAATTATGACACACCCTCTGGTGTTGGTTTATATACATATCAAGTATAAACTTTGAAATCATAACGGTTCTCAAGATATAGAGCGGACACGATCTTTACCATAGGACATGGGGTTGTCAACTAAAACCAAAGTTGTACATACATTATGACACACCCTCTGGTGTTGGTTAATATACATATCAAGTATAAACTTTGAAATCATAACGGTTCTCAAGATATAGAGCGGACATGATCTTTACCATAGGACATGGGGTTGTCAACTAAAACCAAAGTTTTTGACCTTGAACTTTGACCTAGGAAGTTGTACATACATTATGACACACCCTCTGGTGTTGGTTAATATACATATCAAGTATAAACTTTGAAATCATAACGGTTCTCAAGATATAAAGCGGACACGATCTTTACCATAGGACATGGGGTTGTCAACAAAAACCAAAGTTTTTGACCTTGACCTTTGACCTAGGAAGTTGTACATACATTATGACACACCCTCTGGTGTTGGTTAATATACATATCAAGTATAAACTTTGAAATCATAACGGTTCTCAAGATATAGAGCGGACACGATCTTTACCATAGGACATGGGGTTGTCAACTAAAACCAAAGTTTTTGACCTTGACCTTTGACCTAGGAAGTTGTACATACATTATGACACACCCTCTGGTGTTGGTTAATATACATATCAAGTATAAACTTTGATATCATAACGGTTCTCAAGATATAGAGCGGACACATTCTTTACCATAGGACATGGGGTTGTCAACTAAAACCAAAGTTTTTGACCTTGACCTTTGACCTAGGAAGTTGTACATACATTATGACACACCCTCTGGTGTTGGTTTATATACATGTCAAGTCATAACGGTTCTCAAGATATAGAGTGGACACGATCTTTACCATAGGACATGGGGTTGTCAACTAAAACCGAAGTTTTTGACCTTGACCTTCGACCTAGGAAGTTGTACATAAATTATGACACACCCTCTGGTGTTGGTTTATATACATATCAAGTATAAACTTTGAAATCATAACGGTTCTCAAGATATAGAGCGGACACGATCTTTACCATAGGACATGGGGTTGTCAACTAAAACCAAAGTTGTACATAAATATGACACACCCTCTGGTGTTGGTTAATATACATATCAAGTATAAACTTTGAAATCATAACGGTTCTCAAGATATAGAGCGGACACGATCTTTACCATAGGACATGGGGTTGTCAACTAAAACCAACGTTTTTGACCTTGAACTTTGACCTAGGAAGTTGTACATACATTATGACACACCCTCTGGTGTTGGTTAATATACATATCAAGTATAAACTTTGAAATCATAACGGTTCTCAAGATATAGAGCGGACACGATCTTTACCATAGGACATGGGGTTGTCAACAAAAACCAACGTTTTTGACCTTGAACTTTGACCTAGGAAGTTGTACATACATTATGACACACCCTCTGGTGTTGGTTAATATACATATCAAGTATAAACTTTGAAATCATAACGGTTCTCAAGATATAGAGCGGACACGATCTTTACCATAGGACATGGGGTTGTCAACTAAAACCAAAGTTTTTGACCTTGACCTTTGACCTAGGAAGTTGTACATACATTATGACACACCCTCTGGTGTTGGTTTATATACATGTCAAGTCATAACGGTTCTCAAGATATAGAGTGGACACGATCTTTACCATAGGACATGGGGTTGTCAACTAAAACCAAAGTTTTTGACCTTGACCTTCGACCTAGGAAGTTGTACATACATTATGACACACCCTCTGGTGTTGGTTTATATACATGTCAAGTATAAACTTTGAAATCATAACAGTTCTCAAGATATAAAGTGGACACGATCTTTACCATAGGACATGGGGTTGTCAACTAAACCTTGACCTTCGACCTAGGAAGTTGTACATACATTATGACACACCCTCTGGTGTTGGTTTATATACATGTCAAGTATAAACTTTGAAATCATAACAGTTCTCAAGATATAGAGCAGACATGATCTCTACCATAGGACATGGGGTTGTCAACTAAAACCAAAGTTTTTGACCTTGACCTTCGACCTAGGAAGTTGTACATACATTATGACACACCCTCTGGTGATGGTTTATATACATGTCAAGTATAAACTTTGAAATCATAACGGTTCTCAAGATATAGAGCGGACACGATCTTTACCATAGGACATGGGGTTGTCAACTAAAACCAAAGTTTTTGACCTTGACCTTTGACCTAGGAAGTTGTACATACATTATGACACACCCTCTGGTGTTGGTTAATATACATGTCAAGTATAAACTTTGAAATCATAACAGTTCTCAAGATATAGAGCAGACATGATCTTTACCATAGGACATGGGGTTGTCAACTAAAACCAAAGTTTTTGACCTTGACCTTTGACCTAGGAAGTTGTACATACATTATGACACACCCTCTGGTGTTGGTTAATATACATGTCAAGTATAAACTTTGAAATCATAACGGTTCTCTAGATATAGAGCAGACACAATTTGTTACGGACAGACGGACGGACAGACGGAAGGACAAACAGACTGATCACTATAGGGCTTCCGCCATTCGGCGGGGCCCTAATTACTCCTATCAACAGTCTCCTAACGATTTTGGAAAAATTTGATTCATATGCAGTCTATCTATCTTTTATAATTTTCAAGATAAAAGGCAAAAAAATGCTTCGCAGAGCGCAGCCAGATACGACCGCAGAGGTCTAACCCTGGCAAGTTTGGACACAATATTCAAGCTTGATACTGTCTGAATTTGGATTGTGATCAAATTTTTGACATAATATAGGTTTCTGACACAAAATAAAACCCTTTTGACCTCAATGTAGACCAATTTAAAAATGGGGCCCAATATCCAAAAAAGGTAATACAAGGTTAGAACCCCAAAAAATTAAAGACTTTAAATTAATCCCAATGAAATTGGTTAAAAGATTTGTATTCATTTTCAATACTGTGCAATACTGTGCAATTGAAGATTTCTTGCTATTGCGCAATACTGTGCAATTGAAGATTTCTTGCTATTGCGCAATACTGTATAATTGAAGATTTCTTGCTATTGCGCAATACTGTGCAATTGAAGATTTCTTGCTATTGCGCAATAGAAGATTTCTTGCTATTGTGCAATACTTTGTTGTTGCGCAATACTGTGGAATTGGAGATTTCTTGCTATTGCGCAATACTGTGGAATTGAAGATTTCTTGCTATTGCGCAATACTGTTGAATTGAAGATTTCTTGCTATTGCCCAATACAGTGCAATTGAAGATTTCTAGCTATTGCGCAATACTGTGCAATTAAAGATTTCTTGCTATTGCGCAATACTTTTAGTTGCCCAATACTATGCTATTGAAGATTTCTTGCTATTGCCCAATACAGTGCAATTGAAGATTTCTTGCTATTGTGCAATACTGTGCTATTGCTCAATACTGTGCTATTGTGCAATACTATGCTATTGCGCATTACTGTGCAATTGAAGATTTCTTGCTATTGCCCAATACTGTGGTATTGAACAATAATGTGCTGTTGCGCAATACTGTGCAAATGAAGATTTCTTGCTATTACACAATACTGTGCAAATGAAGATTTCTTGCTATTACACAATACTGTGCAATTGAAGATTTCTTGCTATTGCCCAATACTGCGCTATTGCGCAATAGAAGATTTCTTGCTATTGCGCAATACTGTGCAATCATTTGAAATTTCAAAAATTTTGAATAAAAAAAAATATGAGCCCCCAAAAATAATTGGAAAAAAAAAAATCCCCCCAAACTTTTTGAACCCACTCCCCCTTGGAGTAATTACCCCCAAATTAATCCCAGCCTTCCCTTTGTGGTATGGAACCTTGTAGTACAATTGTAGAGAGATCCATACACTTAAACACAAGTTACTGTCTGGAAACTAGAAAAATGCTTGTTTTTGGCCCCTTTTTTGCCCCTAATTCCTGAACCGTTGGGGCCATTACCCCCAAACTCAATCCCAGCCTTCCCTTTGTGATATGGAACCTTGTGGTACAATTTCTGAGAGATCTATACACTAACACACAAGTTATTGTCCAGAAACTACAATAAATTGCTTCGCCGAGCGCAGCTGGATACGACCGCAAAGGTCCAACCCTGAACAGTTGGGGCAAAAATGGACACAATATTTGTGCTTGATACAGGTCTGAATTTGGATTGTAATTCAATATTTGACACATAATAGGTTTCTGACACAGAATACTTGTAGTCAAAGAACTTAAAATTTGTTATATGATTTGAATTTATATTCAATTTTTTGCTTTTGTGCAATACACTATGCTGTTGCGAATTGACCCCCCCTTTTTTTCAAAAAAAAAAAAAAAAAATTTTTACCCCCGCCCCCCCCCCCAATTTTTTTTATAACATCCCCCCCCCCCCCCTTTTCCAAAAAAAAAATTCTTTCCCTCAGTCATGGTCATAATTTCAATTCAAATTTCCAATGGAGTTTGCAACCATAATAACCCATTTAAATACATCATAAAAGTCTTAAAATAGAAAATGACATACATAATCATAGCTAAAACTAATTTATCGTAATCAGCATTTTTAAAATTATTAAAATAGTAACTTCTAATAAACTGTTATCACAGAGATATGTCTCGCCTTTTTGTAATTTTGATAATGCAAATTTGAAATTAAAATAGCAATACTTTGACATGTAAGTTATGCAAATATTCAAAGTCGATGAACCATGATGAGGGGGGCTATATAATCTCCATGGAAACGATACTTGCAAATGCCAATAAATTTGCATACCAAATATCATTGACTTAACATTAGCAGTTCATCTTAAACTGATCTAATCACAAACTAATACATGTAAACAAAGTAAATAGACCATGACTGAGGGGGCGGGGCCAAATATTCTCCATGGAAATGAGACGTGCTAATGCTTATACAACTGAACACCAATTAACATTGGCCTACCACTAATGGTTCCCCTTGAACTGACCTAATCACAAACTAATACATGTTAACTTAGCAAAATTTTCAAAGTCTAAAGACCATGACTAAGGGGGCGGAGCCAAATAATCTTCATGGAAATGAGATATGCCAATGCTTATACAACTGCATACAAATATCATTGACCTACCACTAGTGGTTGACCATAAATTGACCTAATCACAAACTAATACTGTAAATTGGGAAATTTTGGCGTCAGGATATTTTGGCGGTTTTCTCTAGAAAGGCATGTGTATTATTTTGGTGTGTGTAATTTTGGTGCTTCGTTCAATTGATGTGTTAAATTTTGGAACAAATTATTCTGTATCCGGGGTTCAAAGCTGGAAGAAAATATGAAAATAAAATCTAAAACATTACAATCACTTTTTTAATAGATTATTTATTTTTTTTAAATTTTAATCATTATCTCTATTGCAGTACATGTTAATCTATTGACGATTAAGGATCTAAAATTTAAACCTTATGCCTCCGGCAGTACATGTTAATCAATTGAAGATAAAAGATTACAAGGAGTTTTGATATTCTAATTACCAATAACGGCGTCTAATCAGCAATAGCCTGGCACATTTATGACATGTGTGAAGAAAAATTCATATTGTGTTTTCTTAACAATTTCAGAAAATTGACAATGAAGTAGAAAAAATATAGTGTTGTTGTCAAATTATACCCAGTATTTATTTGCAGATTTGACTATGTATAGAATTGCAGGAAATATATGGACGATATAATATCATGAAATATATTTCCCAATGATTAGCATTACGATATTATCATACAGATACGCGATTTCGGTGTTTCAATTTTTAGTGTTAGCTTTATTTTCCTGTGTTTAATTTTGGCACTTTCACTTGAGGCACCAATTAAACCAAAATAAAACTACAACCAAATTAACCCAATTTACGGTACATGTAAACTATGAAAAGTTTCAAAGTCAATAGACCTTGACTGAGGGGGCGGGGCCAAATAATCTCCATGGTAATGAGATGTGCCAATGCTAATACAACTGCATACCAAATATCATTGACCTACCACTAGTGGTTCACCATGAACTAGACCTAATTACAAACTAATACATTGTTGACGCCGCCGCCGTTGCCGGAAACAGCATACCTATGTGTCGTTTTTTGACTCCGTCAAGGCGAGACAAAAATGAATTGACAGCTAATCACCTCAAGACAATACAAAAATTCTTTATACATAATTTAAAAGCAGTGTAAGGGAGGTAATTCAAAGTTGTGTTTGAATTACCTCCCTTACACTGTAATTTGTACTTAATTGTCTATTAACCAAGACACCCTTGTTTTTTCTCACTTTTTTGCCCCTAATTCCTAAACGGTTTGAGCCATAACCCCCCAAAGCCAATCCTAACCATCCCTTCGTGGTATGGAAACTTGTGGTATAATTTCAGAGAGATCCATACACTGTTCCACAAGTTATTGTCATGAAACTAGAAAAATGCTATTTTGGGCCCCTTTTTGGCCCCTATTTCCTAAACTGTTGGGACCATAACCCCCAAAATTAATTCCAACCTTCCTTTTGTGGTTATAAACCTAATGTTTAAATTTCATAGATTTCTATTTACTAAAACTAAAGTTATTGTCCTGAAACCAAATGTCTTCGGACGACGACGTTATACCAATATACATACGACCGCAAAATTTTTTGGGGTCGTATAAAAATGCTTTTTTTTGGCCCCTAATTCATAAACTGTTGGTACCATAACCCCCAAAATCAATCCCAACCTTCTTTTTGTGGTATTGAACCTTCTGGTAAAATTTCTTAGAGATCCATTCACTAAAACTAAAGTTATTGTCCGACGACACCATAGCATTATATGACGCAAAAAATTTTTTGCGGTCGTATAAAAAAATTGCTATTAAATAGCAAGAAATCCAATGAGGAGTCAACTGACAATATCAGCCATTTCAATTTATTTGAAGATCTTATATTGCTGCTCAATTTTTGCTATATAAAGTGTCTATCTATCGATTATAGTTTTCAAGATAATAGGCAAAAACATTACAAATTGGTAAAAATCAATGGATGGAAATTAGACACTAAGTGATGATAAAAGCTTAGATAGGTTCTAGGCCAGGTGAGCTAAAAACCAGTTGGCTAATTGAAATGACTTCCCCTCCTTCAATGTTCTCTTCATTGCATCAAATCAAGTAACTATAAGAATTATACATAAATGGTACATACAGTTGGTATCTGATGATACAAACTAACCTGAAACATTAAGTGGAGCACGAGGTCCTGCTTGTAAACTGTTTCCATGAGAGTTACCTGCAGTAACCCAGATATAATATGAAACGCCATTGCTTTTTTGTGGTATCTTTATTGAATTTATATTCTTTATTGTTTTGTCCTGAAAGTATATAAAATGAAATTACTGGGTTCTTTTTATAGATAAATAGAGTATATTTCTATCTGCATTTATTTATCTTTCACTCTACTATAAATTATGATGCAGACAGCTGCTATAACATTTACACATAATACTGTGGATTCATTATAATACGTCAGGTACTAAATTTGTTGGTAAAGGCAGACAACTGATTTAAATGAATTTTCAAATTATTTGCAATATTCACATTTATAATCCATTCCAATTGGTACCCACAAAATATAAATAAATACACTGGACTAAATTCTATATGCATGGATATGTTTCCACTTCAATTGTGAACAAGTGTAACATAAACATATAAAACTAACAAATATCAATTATTATTTTGTATATAAAGTAATCTTTTAATCCTTTGCAAATTAAAATAGCCTTCAATGGTGAATTCAAACAGTAAATGCCCAATTTTTGCAAGATCACTTCCAATTCGACAATGAATAATAATTAATACACATGTAACATAATGCTTGTTTTTGTTTTTCAGTGTTTTTTTTAGTTTTAACACTTCTTTCCATAACATCATATTCATTGTGGTCAGTCATATAGGTGGAAGAGAGCAGAGTGTTATATACTGAGCCTCAGATGAGGCTATGACAAATTATCCCATAAACTTGTAATTTAAGAACACCATGTCATTTTACAAATGATTTGAGAGACTGTGAAAGCCCTCTCTGGTGGTAAGACAGATATGCCCTATACAGGTACAGTCCAACCTTGTTGTGTCGAACTCAGTTGTGCGGAAAACTCAGATGAGTAGAAGTAATTTCTCGGTCCCGGTAAAATTCCCATCTGATCAATGTACATTTTCCTCTGATGAGTCGAACTCGGTTGATTCGAATACTTTCAGAGGAGTTGCAATAACAAATTGTTGCAGTAGTATATTTAGGCCAAAATTCTAAGTTCAAAGGGTATAACTCCTAGAAAAAAAATTGAATCATAGTTTCCTGTCGATATGTACATATACATAGTATGTCCTTGTTATCTACAAAGTTTCATGAAATTCTGCTGTGTGGTTTCAGAGGAGTTGAGATGACAAGTACAGGACTGACAGACACACTGACGGATGGACAGAGGGGTCAAAAACATTATACCCTACGGAACTTTGTTCCGTGGGGTATAAAAACCTAAACCATTGTTACTTAGGCATCTAATAATGGGGTCATTATAAAATATGCCCTATACAGGTATATGCTTACCAAAAACCTAAACCATTCTGTTACCTAGGCATCTAATACTGGGGTAATATACAAAATATGCCCTATACAGGTATATGCTAACCAAAAACCTAAACCATTCTGTTACTTAGGCATCTAATACAGGGGTAATATACAAAATATGCCCTATACAGGTATATGCTAACCAAAAACCTAAACCATTCTGTTACTTAGGCATCTAATACTGGGGTAATATACAAAATATGCCCTATACAGGTATATGCTAAACAAAAACCTAAACCATTCTGTTAGCTAGGCATCTAATATTGTGGTGATAGACAGATATGCCCTATACAGGTATATGTTAACCAATCAAATGCTCTGCAGGATTCAGCTTGATACAACCGCAAAGGTTGAACCCTGAACAGTTTGGGCAAGTATGGACACTACATTCCAGCTTGATACAGCTTTGAATTTGGATTGTAATTAAATATTTGACACAGCATAGGTTTTTGACACAGAATGAATGTGGTCAAAGAACTGAAAAATTTGAAATTGGACTTTTACCTATAATGGTCCGATATCCAAAATCTAAATACACCAAATAGATTCAGCATTTCCAAGTATACCAAGAATTTAATTTATTTATTTATTAATGGTCAATATAAGCTAAGTTTTTAAAGAGATTCGCTTCATAGAAAAAAACACATCCAACAAAAAACTACCACGAAATTCTTCAAAAAAATCACAAAAAAATTAAAACAATTTGAAAATTTCATTCCTCATTAATGTCTTTAAAAAATCTATAAAACTTATCTTCAATTATTTTTCAAAATAACTAGTAATGAATAGTAAATTTCAAACTATATTTACACATAATTTCTTCTCTAAAATTAGATTTGATACTATATCTATTTTTAACTATGACTCTACTTACAATTTCTATTGATTGTGCAATACAGCTCTGAATTTGGATTCTTATTATATATATAATTTCTTTTATTAAATAAGTTTTGATGCTATATCTATTTTTAACTATGACTCTACTTACAATTTCTAAGAATTGTGCAATACAGCCCTGAATTTGGATTCTGATTAAATATTTGAAATAGTATAGTTTCTAACACAGATTTAATGTGGTCTAAGAACTATGAACTTAAAAATTTGAAATTGGACATTTATCCATTATGGTCCAATATTCAAAATCTAAATACATGGTTAGGATCAGCATATCAAAGAACCCATAGAATTCAATTTTTCATGAAATCAAACAAAGTTTTATTTTGGACCCTTTGGACCTCATTGTGGACCTAATTGATATGGGGCCCAAAATCTAAATACACGGTTATATTCAGCATATCAAAGAACCCCATATATTCAATTTTTGTTGACATCAAACAAAGTATAATTTTGGACCCCAATTTGGACCAACATTAAACTATTATGATCCTATATCCAAAACATAAAAGAACAGCGTTCCAATGTCCCCTGCATTGCACATATTTTATCTATCCAAAGTAAATAACTAAAAAAAACAACTTTTTTTTTTTGTTCTTTAAAACAATTTATAGATATCTTAAGAGAAATGAAGGCTTCGGAGCAAATGAATTGCGATTTCCATTTACAAGTGGCATAACTTGTTAAAAATATTTGATCAGCACTTATTTTCAGAGTGTCAAAGACATTGCTGATATAAACCTATGATATAAGTTTGATAAAATTCTGGCAAGAATTGTACACATGGGAGCGCTTACAATGCAATTTTCCATATAATCAATACTTCCAAGGGACATAACTCTTTTAAAAATAATTGATCAGCACTGATTTTCAAATTTGTCTGAGACATTGATGATATAAACCTTGGCAAGAATTGTACACATGAGAGAATGTGCTAACAATGCAATTTTCCATATTATCAATATTTATAACTCTTTTAAAAATATTTGATCGGCACTGATTTCCTATCTTGTCAAAGACATTGCTGATATAAACCTATGATATAAGTTTGATAAAATTCTGGCAAGAATTGTATGCATGGGAGCGCTAACAATGCAATTTTCCATATAATCAATATTTCCAAGGGGCATAACTCTTTTAAAAATAATTGACCGACACTGAATTTAGAACTTGTCCAAGACATTACTAATATAAATCTATGATGTAAGTTTCATAAAAATCTGGCAAGAATTGTACACATGAGAGCGCTAACAATGCAATTTTCCATATAATTAATGTTTTTAAGGGGCATTACTCTTTTAAAAATAATTGATCGGCACTGATTTTTGAACTCATCCCAGACATTGCTAATATAAATCTATGATGTAAGTTTCATAAAAATCATTTTCCATATAATTAATGTTTCTAAGGGGCATAGCTCTTTTAAAAATAATTGATCGGCACTGATTTTCAAACTCATCCAAGACGTTTCTAATATAAACCTATGATATAAGTTTCATAAAAATCTGGCAAGAATTGTACAGATGAGAGTGCTAACGATGCAATTTTCCATTTAATTAATGTTTCCAAGGGCATAACTCTTTTAAAAAATAATTGATCAGCACTGATTTTCGAACTCGTCCAAGACATTGCTGATATAAACTTATGATATAAGTTTCATAAAAATCTGGCAAGAACTGTACACATGAGAGCGCTAACAAGATCGAAAATTGGTCCCAAAATCAATAAACTGTTATCACAGAGATATGTCTCGCCTTTTTGTAATTTTGATAATGCAAATGTTGAAATTAAAATAGCAATACTTTAACATGTAAGTTATGCAAATATTCAAAGTTGATGAACCATGACTGAAGGTACATGGCTAAACAATCTCCATGGAATGAGATGTGCCAATGCTAATACAACAGCATACCAAATACCATTGACTTATTATAAGTCGTTCCCTTTAAACAAACCTAAACACAAACATTAACTTGTAAACTATGTAAAAGTTTCAAAGTCAATGAACCATGATCAAGGGTGGGGCTATATAATCTCCATGGAAACGATACTTGCAAATGCCAATAAATTTGCATACCAAATATCATTGACTTAACATTAGCAGTTCATCTTAAACTGATCTAATCACAAACTAATACATGTAAACTAAGCAAAAGTTTCAAAGTAAATAGACCATGACTGAGGGGGTGAGGCCAAATATTCTCCATGGAAATGAGACGTGCTAATGCTTATACAACTGAACACCAATTAACATTGGCCTACCACTAATGGTTCCCCTTGAACTGACCTAATCACAAACTAATATATGTAAACTATGAAAAGTTTCAAAGTCAATAGACCTTGACTGAGGGAGCAGGGCCAAATAATCTCCATGGTAATGAGATGTGCCAATGCTAATACAACTGCATACCAAATATCATTGACCTACCACTAGTGGTTCACCATGAACTAGACCTAATCACAAACTAATACATTGTTGATGCCGCCGCCGATGCCGGAAACAGCATACCTATGTCTCGCTTTTTGACTCCGTCAAGGCGAGACAAAAATCTATATACCCAGTTAGATTCAGCATATCAAAGAACCCAAGGAATTCAATTTATTTTCAAATCAAACAAAGTTTAATTTTGGACCCTTTGGACCTCAATGTGAACCAGTTTAAAATTGGGACCCAAATCGAAAATTTAAATACATGGTTAGATTCAGCATGTTAAAGAACCCCATGAATTCAAAACTTAGAATTATACCCCATTGAAATTGGTCAAGAAATAAGCAATTTATACAAAGTATTTAAAAAGTATTATTTTTGGCCCCTTTTTCCTAACCCCCAAAATCAATCCTAGCTTTCCTTCTATGGTATGGAACCTATTGCTACAATTTCTTAGAGATCCTTAAACTATTACTCAAGTTATTGTCCAGAAACCAGAAAATCCTAGTTTTTTGGCCCCAAATTCCTAAACAGTTTGGGCCACAACCCTCAAAATCAATTCCAACCTTCTTTTTAAGGTATGAAACCTTGTGGTTCAATTTCATATAGATCCATACACTTATACTCAAGTTATTGTCTAGAAACCAAATGTCTTTGGAGGATGACGACGTCATAACATTATATGACCGCAAAATTTTGGCAGTCCTATAAAAACCTAAACCATTCTGTTACCTAGGCATCTAATACTGTGGTAATAGACAGATATGACCAATACAGATATATGTTAACCAAAAACCTAAACCATTCTGTTACCTAGGCATCTAATTTGTGGTAATACTCTGATATGATTTTGATACAGATGTTTGCTGACCAACTACCCTACCATTCTAATTCCATGGCAACTAACTTAACTTACAACAGTGATGTGTTGCACTGTCAAGTCCCTGGATGTTTTGTAGTAGATATCATATTTCGTCACTTTTGCAGTACCATATTTTGGTGCGTCCCAGTGAACATGGATCCTATCACTTTGTTGTACAGCTCGAACATTCTGTGGCGCATATGGAATAAGTACTGAAAAATAGGATAATTCCTTTTATTTAATTCTTTAATTAATTCTTTATTGAAAAAGCACTTTACGCCCATATGGGCCAACGGCTTATAAACGTACATATATAACAAACAATGAAAATAAACAATACATATACATCTTACAATCATCATGTTTTTTTTTTATCTCTCTTTATATATAATTACACAGATATTTTCAAGGACTCCCTCATATACAAACTATATATACAATGCCAATACAAAAAAGAATATTAAATTATTTTTGAAAGCAAACTGACAGAACCCATTTTATTAAAAATTTAAAAAAGAAGTTATGATTTGGATAAGGATTGAAGATTGTTTCCAAGAAAAAGTCTACAATTTCAAACATAAAACAATTACCATACACATTCTCGTTGTGATTTTTTGTAAAGACACATTTTTTATAACCTAACCTTTTTATGGTCAATCAAACACTATATTGTATATAAAAATAAGAAGACTTGGTATGATTACCCATGAAACAATTTTAATTGTAAATCAGTTTTTCTTGCAAAAGCCTACTAGTATACAGATTTCAATAAAACTAATATCAATGCTGTCTCTATGTGCCTGTTTTACTGTTTTAAACCAAATACATAAGCTTCTTGTAACCAATGTTCTCTGATGTCTGATCCCATATGTTTGTTTGAATATACAAAATAAATACCCTTTTATCAAAAAAAAAAAAAAAAATGTACAAGTCTTTCAAAGTAAACTTGAGAGTGTCCTCAAAATATTAGAAGAAATGGCTAAGTCAATTTTTCTTTGTATGGGAAACCTCAAAATCTTTCAATTCATAAATTAATTTAGTATGTGTTTTCCATTGTTAGTTATGTTCTTTTCTCCCTTTAATGTGTTTCCTATTTTTTCAATTGTTAAAAAACGTTTGTAATATCAAATAAGGGGAAGTGATATGATCACCAATAAGACAACTATCCATCAGAGTCCATATGACATGGATGTTAGCAACTATAGGTCACCATACTATACTCAGCAAGAAAAAAAAACATACTGTATAGTATGCTATATAAGACCCTGATGTGACAAAATGTGAAAGCCTATTAGAGGACAATATTCAAGCAAGAGAAAACTATTGGAAATAAAAGAACAGAGTTCCAATGTCCCCCGCGTTGCACATATTTTATCTATCCAGGGGCAAAAACTTAAAAAAAAAACCAATTTTTTTTTGTTGTTCTTTAAAACAATTTATAAATAAAAACCGTATTGTATACTAAATATTGCAAACAGATCTTCAAGGGCATTACTTATAGTATACTATAGTTTTTATAAAAAATTGTACCTGTGAGAGCGCTAACAAGCTATATTAACCTAAAGTATAAGTTTTATAAAAATCTGGCAAGAATTGTACCTGTGAGAGCGCTAACGAGGCCATTTTACATAAATTAATTGTTTCCAAGAGTCATAACTCTTTTAAAATAAAGTCGATCGTCCACCATTATAGAACTTGTCCAAGATATTGCTGATATTAACCTGTAGTATAAGTTTTATAAAAATCTGGCAAGAATTGTACCCGTGAGAGCGCTAACAAGGCCATTTTCCATAAATTAAATATTTCCAAGGGGCATAACTCTTTCAAAAAAAGTCAATCATCCATCATTATAGAACTTGTCTGAGATATTGCTGATATTAACCTACAGTATAAGTTTTATAAAAATCTGGCAAGAATTGTCCCATGAGACCGCTAACGAAGCCATTTCACATAAATTTAATATTTCCAAGGGTCATAACTCTTTTAAAATAAATGAGGAATGTGTCCATGGGACACAGATGATGCCCCCGCTTGCATATCATATTAAGTTATAAAGGGACATAATTGAAAAAACAGTAAAAGTGAAGCTACCAAAATTTGTACTTGATCTGAGTTTTGTAGTAATAAGTATTGTGTATAAGTTTCATAAAATTTGGTTGAGGCAAACTTAAGTTAGAGAACGGAAACAAAAAATTCAGTAATTTTTCCGATTGTAAAGGGGCATAACTCTAGAACGGTTAAAGTGACACCACCAAAATTCAAACTTGATCTGTATTTTGCGGTAATAAGCATTGTGTATAAGTTTCATAACATTTGGTTGAGGCAAACTTAAGTTAGAGAACGGAAACCAACTATGGGACGTATGTACGTACGGACGTACAGAAGGACAAGGGTATAACTTAATGCCCCTACCCCTAATGCGGGGGCATAAAAAATCGATCGTCCACCATTATAAAACTTGTCAGAGATATTGCTGATATTAACCTATAGTATAAGTTTTATAAAAATCTGGCAAGAATTGTACCCGTGAGTGCACTAATGAGGCCATTTTCCATAAATTTAATATTTCCAAGGGGCATAACTCTATTTAAAAAAGTTGATCATCCACCATTATAGAACTTGTCAGAGATATTGCTGATATTAACCTATAGTATAAGTTTTATAAAAATCTAGCAAGAATTGTACCCGTGAGAGCACTAAAGAGGCCATTTTCCATAAATTTAATATTTCCAAGGGGCATAACTCTTTTAAAATAAATGGGGAATGTGTCCATGGGACACAGATGATGCCCGCATTTGCATATCATATAAGTTATAAACGTACATAACTGAAGAATGGTAAAAGTGACGGTACCCAAATTTGTTCTTGATCTGAGTTTTATAGTAATAAGTATTGTGTATAAGTTTCTTAACATAAGTTGAGGCAAATTTAAGTTAGAGAATGGAAACAAAAAATTCAGTAATTTTTCCCTTTGTAAAGGGGCATAACTCTAGAACGATTAAAGTGACACCACAAAAATTCAAACTAGATTTGTATATTGTATTAATAAGCATTGTGTATAAGTTTCATAATATTTGGTTGAGACAAATTAAAGTTGGAAACCAAAAACAAAAAATTCAGCATTTTTTTCATTTCTAATGGGGCATAACTCTAGAATGGTTAAAGTGACACCACCAAAATTCAAACTTGATCTGTGATTTGTGGTAATAAGCATTGTGTATAAGTTTCATAACATTTGGTTGAGGATAACTTAAGTTAGACAACAGAAATGAATAAAATGCTCCGCTGGGGCGCAGCTTGATACGACCGCAAAGGTCGAACCCTGAACAGTTGGGGCAAGTATGGACACAACATTCAAGCTTGATACAGCACTGAATTTGGATTGTAATTAAATATTTGACACAGCATAGGTTTCTGACACAGAATTTATGTGGTCTAAGAACTTAAATTTTTTTAATTTATCTATTCAAACCATATCATTATTATTTGCTTTTGTATATAAATCAGAAATAACCAATTTGAAATGGAAAATTTTAAAGAAAAAAAAGGAAAAAAAAATCCCCCCCCACCAATTTTTTTGAACCCCCTTATGATTCATCACCCCCAAACTCAATCCCAGCCTTCCCTTTGTGGTATGGTACCTTGCAGTACACATACATGTGATGGACTGTGAAACTAAGATCAGGAGTTTGGGAGATTAGGACTCAGATCAGGGGGTTTTTGATCGACATAAATTCTGTCGTAAATGTAACCGTGTGCTGTAGAAATTGTCTGTTAAAGTGTTTTCTTCAACTTTCCATCCGAATGTATTATGTTTATAGTACCCTTGTACTTATAGATTTTCTCTATCTTTTTAAATTTTCAACTTGTTCTATCTAACATTCTTCTTTTTTAGTATGTTCTTTAAATTTTTTAGGTCATATCTTTTTTACCATTATTCATTGCAATCAGAACATTTGCTTACCTATCTGCAAGTAGATCATTTATTTTTATCTTTATGCAAGTAGATTTTTTTTTTTTTTCTCTTTATGCAAGTAGATTTTTAATGTATGATAGGTAACTCATTCAACCTTTAGTCATGGTCATAGTTATTATATAAATTTCAATTTCAGCCTTAAAAGGAAGTATAGAACCCTCAAATAATTTTCAAATTATTATTTTTTTATTTGTCCTAAGACATTTAAAATCATTTAATTACCATCCTTTTATGATTATTTGTTCAATTTATATTTTATTTATATTCTTTTAAAAATTTACATTATTTAAGGGAAAGTAACTTAAAACAGGATAAATCAAGGGAAGTAACCCAACATTCATTTTAAATAAACAAAGTTTTATTACACAATGGCAGTTAGCCTGAGGTAAAAATCGTTGATTACCAGTATGTTTGACACCCAAGGTGACAAGTGAAGCCATATAATTATGCATGTTAATTGATTTACAGGTAAAATATAACTTCAGTAATGTCAGTTACACCAGATATGTTGGGCTGAAATTTTTCATTCATGAAATATTTCATACACGGGATTTTTTTGTCTTCAACAGGAGGTCGGGAGGAGACCCCTGAAAACAGGATTATTGTACTCCCGTCGAGAGGTTCACATGTATGACTGTACAATTTCAGAGAGATCCTTACACTTGAACACAAGTTATTGTCTGGAAACTAGAAAAATGCTTGTTTTTTGGCCCCAAATTCTTAACATTTAGGGCAGTTACCCCCAAACTCAAACCCAGCTTTCTCTTTGTGATATGGAACCTTGCAGTAAAATTTCATAAAGATCCATACACTTACACACAAGTTATTGTCCTGAAACTAGAAAAATGCTTGTTTTTTTGCCCCTTTATGGCCCCTAATTCCTCAAAATTCTAGGGAATTACCCCCAAAATCAATCCCAGCATTCCCTTTGTGGTATGGTACCTTGCAGTACAATTTCAGAGAGATCCATACACTAGAACACAATTAATGGTCTGGAAACTAGAAAAATGCTTACTTTTGGCCCCTTTTTGGCCCCTTATTCCTAAACGTTGTGGGCAATTAACCCAAAAATCAATTCCAGCTTTCCCTTTGTGATATGGAACCTTGCAGTACAATTTCATAGAGATCCATACACTTACACACAAGTTATTGTCATGAAACTAGAAAAATGCTTGTTTTTTTGCCCCTTTTTGGGCCCTAATTCCTAAAATTCGGAGGCAATTACCCCCAAAATCAATCCCAGCATTCCCTTTGTGATATGGAACCTTGTGGTACAATGTCAGAGAGATCCATACACTTACACACAAGTTATTGTCATGAAACTAGAAAAATGCTTGTTTTTTGCCCCTTTTTGGCCCCTAATTCCTAAAATTTGGAGGCAATTACCCCCAAAATCAATCCCAGCATTCCCTTTGTGATATGGAACCTTGTGGTACAATGTCAGAGAGATCCATACACTAACACACAAGTTATGTCTGGAAGTTACAAAAATGCTTATTTTTGGCCCCTTTTTGGCCCCTAATTCCTTAACTGTTGGTACCATAACCCCCAAAATCAATCCCCACCTTCCTTTTGTGGTATTGAACCTTATGGTAAAATTTCATAGAGATCCATTCACTTAAACTAAAGTTAGAGTGCGAAAACAAATGTGTCTTCGGACGACGATGACAACGATGCCAACGTCATACCAATATACAACCACAAAATTTTTTTGCGGTCATATAAAAATTAAGCAATTTTTCCATTTGTAAAGGGGCATAACTCTAGAATGGTTAACTTGACACCACCAAAATTCAAACTTGATCTGTGTTTTGTAGTAATAAACATTGTGTATAAGTTTCAAAACATTTGGTTGAGGCAAACTAAAGTTAGAGAACGGAAACCAACTATGGGACGTACGTACAGACAGACGTACAGACGGACGAGGGTAAAACTTAATGCATAAAAAGTCGATCGGCCACCATTATAGAACTTGTTCGAGATATTTCTGATATTAACCTATAGTATGAGTTTTATAAAAATCTGGCAAGAATTGTACCTGTGAGAGCGCTAACAAGACCGGACGGACGGACACACGGACGTACGGATGCCCGGTATTTCCATGTCCCCCGCAACGCGTTGGACAATAAAATTATATCTGTTTCTTAGGGTCTTACTTCTTCCTTGTTCTATACATTCTACAATATCTGTAGCCTCTTCAACACAGGTTAATAGTGATAGTGTATCTGACAAATCTGGTGTGGAACCTTTACAAAAAGGCTTACAGTATGGCTTTACACCTCGTTGATCACAACAAAAACTATGGTCTTTTTCATCTACAATAAAGTCAAATCATTATTAACTATAAACAACAAGATTGCTACAATGTAGCAAAATGTAAAACCTTGTGACAATGCTTAAAAAAGCCCCACAACTCTTGTGAAAATGGTAGAATCAAAATGGCCGTACAATATAGTAATGATCTGAAGATTTTTTTGCATTTATGAAAATAAGACACAAATTAAAATAATCAGATATACTGTTTAACTAATTTGAAATCAATGTTAAAGAAGTAACATCAGCACCATTCACACATGATAACCTTGTAAGTGTTGAAACTAAGTCCCAAAACAATGAATTTTTTTTTTCAATATACATTATTATCAATTTCATATACAGAAGAAATGATTACATTGAAAAATAAATAGGCAATGTGTCCATGGGAAGCACATGATGCCCCCACTTGCATATAACGTTATAAAGGGACATAACTCAAGAACTGTAAAAGTGACGCTACCCAAATTTGTACTTGATCTGAGTTTTGTGGTAATTAGCATTGTTTTTAATTTTATAACATTTGGTTGAGGCAAACTAAAGTTAGAGAATGGAAAGGAAAAATTCAGCAATTTTTCCATTTGTAATGGGGCATAACTCTGGAAAGGTAAAAGTGACGCCACCAAATTTCAAACTTGATCTGTGTTTTGTGGTAAAAAGCATTGTCTATAAGTTTCATAACATTTGGTTGAGGCAAACTAAAGTTAGAGAATGGAAATGAATAATTCAGCAATTTTTCCATTTGTAAAGGGGCATAACTCTAGAACGGTAAAAGTGACGCCAACAAAATTCAAACTTGATCTGTGTTTTGTGGTAATAAGCATTTTGTCATAACATTTGGTTGAGGCAAACTAAAGTTAGAGAATGGAAACCAATTTTGGGACGTCTGTACAGACGGACAAGGGTAAAACTTAATGCCCCCTCTGCTACAGGGGGGGGGGGGGGGCATAAAAACAACAAATTTCTTTGAAGAGTTGGAGTTGACTATTTATACTTACCCTAGAGAAAAGGGATTGGTCCAGTTGAACATGTTTTGATCATAGCAAATGCTTGACTTTAAAACTTATGTCTCAAAAATGTAATTATTAATCTTATTTTACCTCCAGCACAGCTAGCAAAAACCGGTAGAAGTTGTAAACAGTCATCATATTTATCCTCAGTAATCACAGCAAAGTCTAATGTCAAATCACACAACTCCATACAAACACCTCTAACACCACCTCTTCTACAACAATCTGCAAAAAATCTTCTCAGTAATTTTATGCATTTTTGAAACCACAGAAAGACATATATCTGCCCATTTATAAAACAATTAACTAAAGGTATAATGTGGAATAATTTATTTAATGGGGAGGGTTTTTTTTTAGAAAAAAGAAACTTCTTTATTCTTCAACCCATTAATCTCTGACATAAGTGTATTGTTCTAACAGTAGTTAACTAAAACAGTTTCAACAAAATCAATGACTATAACTGGCATGCATTTGAAAACATTTCATAACTAGGTAAGTTTACCAAATAAAACTTTTTAATTACATTTCTTACTTAAAGTTACCTTTGTAAAAGCTGTTGTTTTGATAATTGTAAAATAATTCATTACAGATAAGGTAAAATGATGGACATGATGTTATTAAATCTTCTATTTTATATGAATTGTATATAAAGCCTTCCCAGTTAATTCTAACCAATTTTATATGATTTATGATTTAAGGCTAAACTAGATATTATTGTGAGAATTATTAAATTCATTACACTATACAGTGACAAATTATTGTCTCACCTGTTACATTTCCAGCCACAGGAGTTGGAAGTGGGGCCTCAGTAGGAGGAATATAGTCACCTGAAAGACAAATTTATAATAAATTGCTTCGCTGAGCGCAGATGGATACGACCCCAGATGTCCAACCCTGAAAAGTTGGGCCAAAATGGACACAATATTCACGCTTGATACAGGTCTGAATTTGGATTGTAACTAAATTTTTGACACATAATAGGTTTCTGACACAGAATAACTGTAGTCAAAGAACTGATATATTTGAAATTGGACATTTAAATACCTATTATGGTCCAATATCCAAAATCTAAGTACATATTAGAATCAGCATATCAAAGAACCCCAAGAATTCAATTTTTGATGAAATCAGACAAAATTTTAATCTAGGACCCTTTGGACCTCAATGTGGACCAATTTGATAAAGGAGCCCACAATCCAAAATCTCTCAATACATGGTTAGATTCAGCATTTCAAAGAACCCCATAAATTCAATTTTTGTTGAATCAAACAAAGTTTAATTTTGGACCCTGATTTGGACCAACTTGAAAACTGGGCCTAAAAATCTAATATTTAAATAGAGTTTGGATTCGGCATTTGAAAGAACCCTATATATATATTTAATTTATGTTGAAATGAAACACAGGTTAATTTTATCCATAATATTTTCGGTGCAAATGGAAATAACTCAAACTGGATAAATAGTTCTCTAAAATAAGATATGATGCAATTTTTCAAATTATAATCAATAATAAACAACCAGTAATTACTAAGTTCTCTAAAATTAGATATGATTTAACACTCAAACATTGTTAGAATCAGTATATCAAAAAAAAAATTAAAAAAAAAATTTATTTTACCCCGGTTTTTTGCTTTTGTGCAATACACTATGCTGTTGAATATTAACCCCCCAAAAAAATATTTGAAGAAAAAAAAAATTGGTAAAAATCGTCATCAAAGAACAATAACTCCAATAAGGAGTCGACTGAAGATTTCGACCAAGTCAGACTTATTTGTAGAACTTGTTTTGCTGATCATTTTTGCATTTTAAAGTTTCTCCCTACCTATTATAGTTTTCAAGATAATAGGCAACAAGAGGCTGTCAGAGTGACAGCAAACCGGATTTTCCTGCAGAGGTCGAACCCTGAACAGTTGAGCAAGTATGGACACAACATTTAAGCTTAAAACAGCTCTGAATTTGGATTGTGATTGAATATTTGACACAGCATAGGTTTCTGACACAGAAAGAATGTGGTCTAAGAACTTGAATTTTTTTAATTTACCTATTATGGTCCAATGTCCAAAATCTAAGTCCATGGTTAGAATCAGCATATCAAAGAACCCCAAGAATTCAATTTTTGATGAAATCAAATAAAAGTTTAATTTAGGACCCTTTGAACCTCAATGTGGACCAATTTGATAAAGGAACCCAAAATACAAAATCTCTAAATACATGGTTAGATTCAGCATTTCAAAGAACCCTATATATATTCAATTTATGCTGAAATGAAACAGTTTAATTTTGGACCCCGATTTGGACCAACTTGAAAACTGGGCCCAAAATCAAAAATAAATCTGTCACTCCAATTAAAATTTTGTTAGTTGATAATTACCAAATGTTTGTTATCTTGATAAAAGTCGGAAATTATTGCATGAATAAATTAATAGTAAATATATTGTCCTAATCCAAATACATGTACAAATGTGTATATTTAGTTAATTGTAAAAATCTATTATACAAATTGTGTGTAGTTTTATAGGAAGAATAAAAATAGATCATTATCTGCAAATCTGGACTCCCAAACAGGATTAAGTAAAAATGAAAGAACCTTGGTGAGCGCGCTCACATACCCCACGTCCCCACATTGTCATTGGAGAAATGAAATAAGTGTAAGAAAAAAAAATTGTGTCATTGAAGAAATGAAATAAGTGTAAGAAAAAAAAATTGTATCAGCAAAAAAAACTGAATCACAATTTCCTGTCAATATGCACATCTACATAGTATGTCCTTATTATCTACACAGTTTCATGAAATTCTGTTGTGTGGTTTGAGAGGAGTTGCGATGACAAAAGGTTGCAGTAGTATATTGGGCAAATAAGTTCAAAGGGGCGTAACTCCTGGGAAAAAAATTGAATCGTAATTTCCTGTTGATATGCACATCTACGTAGTATGTCCTTATTATCTGAAAAGGTTTCATGAAATTCTGTTGTGTGGTTTGAGAGGAGTTGCGATGACAAAAGATTGCAGTAGTATATTGGGCAAATAAGTTCAAAGGGGTGTAACTCCTGGAAAAAAAATTGAATCGTTATTTCCTGTCGATATGCACATCTACGTAGTATGTCCTTATTATCTGAAAAGGTTTCATGAAATTCTGTTGTGTGGTTTGAGAGGAGTTGCGATGACAAAAGGTTGCAGTAGTATATTGGGCAAATAAGTTCAAAGGGGCGTAACTCCTGGAAAAAAATTGAATCGTAATTTCCTGTCGATATGCATATCTACATAGTATGTCCTTATTATCTGAAAAGGTTTCATGAAATTCTGTTGTGTGGTTTGAGAGGAGTTGCGATGACAAAAGGTTGCAGTAGTATATTGGGCAAATAAGTTCAAAGGGGCGTAACTCCTGGAAAAAAAATTGAATTGTAATTTCCTGTCGATATGCACATCTACGTAGTATGTCCTTATTATCTGAAAAGGTTTCATGAAATTCTGTTGTGTGGTTTGAGGAGTTGCGATGACAAACTGTTGCAGTAGTACATTAAAGTCAATAAGTTCAAAGGGGCGTAACTCCTAGAAAAAGAATTGAATCGTAATTTCCTGTCGATATGCACAACTACATAGTATGTCCTTATTATCTAAAAAGGTTTCGTGAAATTCTGTTGTGTGGTTTGAGAGGAGTTGCGATGACAAGAAACAGGACTGACGGACTGACGGACGGACGGTCAAAAACATTATACCCTCCGCAACTGGTTGCGTGGGGTATAATTAAACATTAACACACACAACAAAAAGAAAATACCACATAACAACTGTGACATCTACCTTCAAAACACACAACTTTAAAAAAATAGTTATAAAGAAATTTTTGACAACTCCTGACTAAAATCAATTGAACAGATACAATCATTGATAGACTTATAATTTACACCTTTTCTGTTCAAAGAGTAATAACTCATAATAAAAACAAGAGACCAAATGACATAGAAATAACTTATTTATAACACCATTTCTGTTCAAAGGGAAATAACTCAAAATCATATAATAAGAATTACATTTGCTACTGAAAGGTCTACAACTCAACAACGAGAACAGCTAAAATTGTGAAAATTGAACTTGACCTTCAGTTGATCACAGGAAACAACATATCTAAATTTGAAAAGATTTCGTCAAAGCGGTTTCAGGTTATTGAATGGACACTGTTTGGCAGCCACCGCGGTACATCCCCAAATCAATAACAGACTTTTCTTTCGAAAATCAGGTTAAAAATGAAAAAAAATGTCATTTTAGGGCAATAACTCCTATAAGTAGTCGTCTGACAGTTTTGACGTATATAACCAATTGGTAGAGCTCAACATTCTGAACATTGTTGCCCTCGTCAGATTTTCTCTTTTTATAACGGTTTTCAAAATAATAGACAAAACTTGCATTTTACCCCTATGTTCTATTTTTAGCCATGTCAGCCATCTTGGTGAGGACTTGGGGTCATCAGAGTCGATCGGACACATTTTTTAAACTAGATACCCTAATGATGATTGTGGCCAAGTTTGGATAAATAGTAGTTTCAGAGAAGATTTTTGTAAAAGTTAATGACGACAGACGACAACGGACAACAAGTGATGAGAAAAGCTCACTTGGCCCTTCGGCCCTGTGAGATAAAAATAAGAAGATGTGGTATGTTTGCCAATAAGACAACTAACTATCCAACTATCTAAGCTCATACTTTATGGTTAATTTCATAAGATTGATCAAGAAATTTTTTGAAATAAAATCCCAAAAGCAAAAGTTTGACATACATAAGAAGGGTACACAACAACTCACACCGTTACCAACTTGTAATCATTTTTTTTTTTGGTAGCATTATTTATGTATCATTTTATTGCTTATAATAGTTATTTTGTATTTAAATTAATCTAGTGATACAACTTTCTTAAAAGAAACCACGGTAAACATCATAGCAGTGGTTTAATCATTATTTCAAACATGAACCATGTCAACTTTTAATACAGTAGACTCCGGCAAATCAGATACTCAAAATGTCAGCAAAAAATATCCCATTATTCGATATATTCAATTAGGCGATAAAAGTATATTCATTCATTGAATAATCTGCAATAATGAGTTGACCTAATCCTGAGATGTAACTAGCCATGACCACTGATTTCCCCCTAATAGTCTTTGTTAAATTTGCACTTTTTAAAAAATTGTGCAGAGTTTATCTTTGTTTCAAATAAAGAAATACTTGGCATGAGTAAAGTTTTATCCTGTTCAGTACTATAGACAAAATTTCACATAACATTTCATTGCATATAAGACAATAACCCTCAATGGTAGTTAACCAATCAAATTTTCACCCCTTTTTTTCCTGTGTACAAGCTTTAGTAACCATGTAACCTCAAGTTTCCAAAATATTCTATAGAAACACCAAATAAAATAAATTGCTTCACCAAGCACAGCTGGATACGACTGCAGAGTTCCAACCCTGAACAGTTGGGGCAAAAATGGACACAATATTTACGCTTGATACAGATCTGAATTTGGATTGTAATTAAATATTTGACACATAATAGGTTTCTGACACAGAATAACTGTAGTCAAAGAACTTAGAATTGGTTATATGATTTGAATTTATATTCAATTTCTTGCTTTTGTGCAATACACTGTGCTGTTGTGCAATACTTTGTAAATCTGTTTTCAGACCATATACAAAGAATTTGCAATTGTGACACACAATTTTTCTGTGGAAAATTGACAATTTTTCTTTTCTTTTTAATTTCTGAAATCTTGATAAAAAAATTGTCCCCATCCCCCTCCAATTTCCCCCCCCCCCCCCCCCCCCCCCCCAATTTTATAT